TAGGAGGCTCATCAGGGGATGCTGCTGGGATCAGCACCCATGCGACAGAAATAAGAAATGGAAATAGACGAAAGGACATGGTGAGCTGTGAAGCAATTTCAACAGTCCCGTGGGGAGTTCTGCATCTGGGAAGAACCTTGTGAGATATCTGAGTTGGAGTTACGAGCATGTATATAGTATGTCCATGTACATAATGACCTTCTATGACCTTGGGTGAGAAGGCTCTCTTCAGCTCCTCAAAGGGGGCTGAGAGCTGAGGGCTGCCTGCCAGCAGCAATCCTAGGAGAACGTTCTCTGTACTTCTTTCCTGAAGGCAGATGCAGTGACTCAGCTCAGGATCCACCACAGTCCACCCTTTGTGCCACTAGGATCTACCTCACACAGGTTCTTCTACGATCCCCGGGGCCTCTCTTCCTTGGGGGCACTTGGGGCGGGGGGGATAAATTAAAGTCCCCACTGCTGCAGCTGGTCCTGGGTCCCCAAGTGGTATACACTGTCTTCCTCCTCTTTCTCCCAGATTCCCCTCGCCCTCAGCCAGCCCCTCTGTGGGACTTGGTTGGTTCACCTGATGGCATGGTCCAGAGTCTAACGCAGCCATGGGCAAACTACAGCCCGTTTGAAATGAATAAAACTAAAAAAAAAAAAAAGACCGTACCCTTTTATGTAATGATGTTTACTTTGAATTTATATCAGTTCACACAAACACTCCATCCATGCTTTTGTTCCGGCCCTCCGGTCCAGTTTAAGAACCCACTGTGGCCCTCGAGTCAAAAAGTTTGCCCACCCCTGGCTAACCTGTCAGGGGTCTCAGCCTCTGGTAACCATGCCTTTCTCAGGCCAGGAGATAACCCTACCTGGATGGGAACTCTTGTCTACTGCTCCCTTGGCATGAGGAACCCAACGAGCCAGATTTTGTAGTTAATGGGACTCCTGCTGGGCCCCCCGGGGGAGGCACTCAGCCCGTGGAAGCTGGAACTCGAAAGCTCCCTGGCCCGGTGTTCAGGCTCTGTCGTCGCCGGCTCCCCAGGTGGGTCCTCAGGAGTAGCCGGTCCTGCTTCCTTGTCTCCCTGACTCCTGCATTCCACCCACCAGGGATGCGGGACTCGATGGAGGCCTTTGATTTAAAGTGGGCACTGAGTTCTGGAGGGGGCACCCCATTCTTGGAGAGCATTGCCTGCAGGACAGCAGCAGGGTGCTCCCTCATTCTGGGAGTGGGGTCCTGGAGTCCGTGATGCCACCGTTGGACCCTGTAGACTCAGGCCCGTTCCCCGCCCCCCCCCCCCACTACCACAAAAGATGCCCTTGGGCTGACACAACCCAGCTGGAGGTGCTACAGTATTGTCCCTAAGCCACAGTCTCCTACACACACCTTTCCCCAAAAGTAGAACCAAACTACCCCAGGCTCCATGTTTAGATTTTTCAAGTTACACCTAGAAGCAGAAGCACTGGAAGGCAGCTGACCCAGGTCCCTGGCTCCTCCCTGCCCTCTGTGCCAGGCACGAGGATGTGGTGAAGGTGGCAGTTTCATCAGTGACCTGGCCAGGAGGGTTCCTCCCGCAGGGCAGCGATTCACCGGAGCCCGAGAGGCTCCAGCAGACCCTTGGCCGCCTCCTCCCTGCATCCATCACACACTTTAGACGCAGCGCCTGACAGGCCCGAGATAAAGAGGGAGGAGAATTGAATCAGTGTCCACTTTGGTCTTCAAAACATATCTGATTTGCCTGCCTGTGGATACGGATGACTTCATTTCCTATTCAGTGTTGCAAAAGGCCCAGTCTGCATGGGGAGCCTTCTCAGAAAGACACCCTCCTCCTCCTCTTCCTCCTCCTCCCCACCTCCTTTCTGCCTCCCCCTCCTCCTCCTCACCTTCCTCCTTCCCCTCCTCATTTTTCTTCTCCTCCTCCACATCTTCTTCCGCCTCCACATCTCCCTGATCCTCCACCTCCTCCTCCTCCTCCTCCTCCTCTTCCACATCTTCCTTCTCCTGCCCCTCCTCCTCCTCCTCCTCCTCCTTCCCCTCCCCCCTCTCTCTTTCTCTCTCCCCCCACTTCCCCACCCCAACTTGTTATTAACTAAAATGCATATTAACTAAATGTAAGTGTGAGAAAACTCCTCTTGATTTTCCTGATCCCATCCACATTTAAAAATAAAGTTCTGTGTCCCAGGCAAACTAGGGCAGTTGGCTGCCTTAATACCACATACTAGCTTGGCGGCCTTAGATAATTACTTATCCCTGGGAGGCTCACTTTTCTATTCTGTGAAATGGAGCTAATAAGACCAAACACAGTCGCTACTGGATTGTGCAAAGGCCAGAACGCGTGTCTGGTAGGCAGTCGGGTGTGTAAATGGAAGTTGCCAAGTCCCGTGCAAGGAAGATGGCAGAGTCTAAGCAGTGGTTGCCTCCGGCTGCAAAGCACTCTTGGAACAATTTTGGCAACTGTGTTGTCTCTCTCTCCGAAGGCAGTGGAATCAAAATAAATGTTTACTCCCTGAAGCTACTTTGCATGAACATAGTTTATCTTTATAGTTTGTGCTACCACCTGTTATATTTCTCATATTTAAAAAATTAACTTCATCATTTTCTTCTTGCCTATTTTTAAAGGGTTTAATCATTTTTTTCCTCACCTCCAATCCTGCCTATTTTTAGTGTTTCGTTTAACTTTTGTGCTTCCTCCTTAATGTCAGAGGTTTTTATGGTCCGTTTTTTAAAAAAACCTTATATCCCTGTTCTCTTGTTCTTTTAATTCTAGTTTTCAAAATGTTCTCTTCTTGTTACCTTCTGAAAAGCCTGCCTTTCCCTCTCATAATTTTGTCATTTCTCAGGATACCACTGATTGAACTCGGGCTGTGATGTAGGTTTTCCATCATTTACTTTTTCTTGTCATGGGATGCCAGCTGAGCTCAACATGCCCGCATCCTTCTCTACCTTTGTCTTAGATTTTCACTGAAGTGTCCTATCCTTTATTGCTCTGCTATTTTTTAAACTTCCTTGCGTACTATTTCTAATCCCCTTTTCTAATTCAGCATGGCCTATTTATAAAGGGCAGGCAGGAAGCATGGCCACAGGGCCGACAGCTGTGGGGAGAGCCCACGCTCTTGCAGGGAGGGATGCTGGTGGTACTCTCTACTCCTCCGCCTGGTTTACTGACTCCCACAGACCCTCCCACCACTTTCATCCCATTCTTCACCGGGTCCTTAAAGAGCCAGCTTCACCTGGACTACACTCTGCCCCCTGCCACATCACAACAGGTCTCCTTAAGCTTCAGCCTCTCCATGTCGTTCAGGTGCTTAGTGAGCAGTCCTTTCATTGATTATCCCACATTTTGGGAAAATAGTTCGGTTTTGAAGGCCAGAAAAATGAACTGGACCAAATTTATAACAAATGGCATAAATGGGAGCCCAGATCATTAATCATTGGGCTAGACTGCGAAGCTCTACATAGATCAGCAAACCAAACTATGTGGTGTCTGCCCTCTTGGTGAGGGAATTACTTGCTTGGTCATGGGGGCAGGAGGACGTTGAGATGGGATTTGAGGCCCCTCTGTCTGAGCTAGCTCCCTAATCCCCCTCCACTGTTCCCTGAGTAGCAAATAATGCACATAGCATTCTTTTTAAAACAGCGTAAATACGAAAGATCTTAATACTTTATAGTCCTCTGGAATAGTTTGTAACATGAAGTATGAGAACCTATAATGCACAATTTATGAAAGAAATAAAACATACCTATTACACCATAGACTAGCATTTGGGGGAAATGGCCTTATATTAAAGTATAGAGTGTCCCCCAAAAATGTATACACACTTGACAGCTGATAGTTCAATTGATTTTTTTTTCTTTTCAGATTTAACCCATAGGAATTAATTATTCAAAGCGTATATATATTTTGGGGGGACACCCTGTATATATCCAACAATCATTGGATATCTGTTATGTGCTAGGCACATTCGTATATATTCACTTGTATACTAACTATATAAATATATAGATATACTAGTACATACATGTACATTATTTCTGTGAGGCAAAGGTTGATTCCCATTGTTCAGATGAGAAAGTTGAGGCTCAAGAAGGCATAAAGTGACTTGCTCAAGGTCAGATGCCTAGTAAATGGTGGAGCTGAGGGATGCAAACTCGGGTCTCTGGTTACAGAAGCTCCAAGTGGGTGCAAAGGCCTTTGGTGGGTGGCTGCCCGCTCACTTTGCCAGGACCCCACAGCACCCCAACGCCCCCTCGGGGTTGCGGAGATGACCACAATCTCCCTATATTCCCCGCAGTCTCCAATGCTTGGGCTGCCCTCCTCTGCAGCCCTTCCCTCTGCCCAGTGTACAGCCACTAATGCTAAAGTGTGAACCTAATGAAGACACACCTAAGTCCAAAAGCAGAGAGGCCCACACATGGGCACATTCTCCAGCTGTGAGAAGGACTTGTGAAGACACGCCAAGAGCGCGTGCTTTGGGTTAAGACTCCGGGCGGGAGAGTTTGGTGCCTAGGAGTTGGGTGGAGGCGCTGGAGGTGAGAAGCAGCAGACACTGTGATATCTCTTCTCGAGTTAGCACATCAGGACTTGGATGCTACCCAAGAGGCCCTGAAAGCACAGGTCAAAACACAACATTGCTATTCAACTAATACTTTCCCTGGGTCTTAATAGTCTTTTCCCTTTTTCTCACCTGATTCCCAGCCCCTTAAAAGGCCAAAACCTTCAGCTCGTGGAGAGGAGAAGTGAGGTGAGAAAGAGCCCCTTGTCTTGCTTCACGCCTCCGATCCTAACTTGGGGATGGAGAAGCTCTAAGTTAGATGATCGGCCATGGGAGGCCCCTCGGAGGGGCTGACATCTGCCTCAAGACCTGAATGAAGAACTTGGTTCTGCTCACCTGCTACTAAGCTTTGGGATTATTCCCTTAAGATTTGCTGTGGAAATGTTTATTGATTTTCTCTCTTTGCCTCTACACAGCTCCTCTTTGAGCCGCCTGACCGGGCTCTGTCTGCAATTCTGTTGCAGGTGGTGGCCCAGGTGGTGTTATTCATGTGCATGAACACGGCTGGGATCTTCATCAGTTACCTGTCAGACCGCGCCCAGCGCCAGGCCTTCCTGGAGACTCGGAGGTGTGTGGAGGCCAGGCTGCGCCTGGAGACGGAAAACCAAAGACAGGTACCGATGGGAAAGGCTGCGAGTCCTGTTGAGCTTAATTTCTGCCCCAACGTATCTGGACTTGCCTGTGTTCTCTCAAAGTGTGTGTCACGGAGTTACCAGGTCTAAAATAGTTACGGAAGGTCCTCCACACTCAAGTAACTGTTCCCTCAAGAAATAAAATGATTCTAGTCTCAATGTCATCTCCTGCTGCTCTTGACCGACATCTATGCTTCAAGGCTCTGGTTCCTAAAAACCATTAAAATTCTCCTCTTTGACCCTCCTGTTTCTGAAGCTGTACATTGTTATTTCAGATACAATTTTTTTTTTTGCTAGCAATTCGAATTGTAGTAAGCCCACAGAAGAATCTTGAGGTTCCTAATACCTGAACCTCACTTTCACAAAAGATGACCCAACATAATAGAATTTATGGAACATGACAGGGCTCCCAGGACGAGGGGACAGCAGGTCAGGGTCACGGTAGGAGCTATGAGTTCAAGTTTAAAGACATTAAAATAAAGGAGTTTCTTGGGCAGATGTTACAAGAATTTTAAAAATAGCTTCAAATTATATGTTTCACCAAAATAAAATTAGCTTTCATAGAATAAAGATTTTTCCCCTATCAAAATTATTCATCCATTAAAAATGTGTGCCTATTTTAGCCTCTGAGAGCAATTGTCAAAGAGGAATAACAAGAAGGTATTGAAAATTGGTTATAGAATCAACATATTTTACGTTCAACATGTTTATGTGCCCTTTGGAATTCTATGTTCAATGGATATGTTCTACAATACGAGGCTCTTTTTATTTAAAGTAGTCTGTGGATACACACTTGTTATTTTAAGCCTTATGCAATACTGGTATGAGAAATTATAAAGAAAGTAGCTGCAAAAGACACAGCATCTTCCTCATCTTCATTTGATCAAATCATCAGTAAGACGTGGATCTTTGGGATGGGGAAGCCAGGTCTGTGTGGTAATGGATGAGGCAGACAGGCCGGGTGACAAGACTCAGCTCCCACCGCCGTGTGTTACTGCCAGGGGCACAGAGGAAATGGCTGAATGGCCGGCCCCTCCATGGACTTCTCAGGATCCAGAATTAGGAAATCTCTAAGTTCTTGTCTAAAACCAGTATGGAACCTCATCACTGATGCATTGTAGTTGGCCCGAATAACCCGATAGAATAATTTAGAGGAATAACTTTGAGAAAGAATGCACCTTGCGGACCAAACATGAGGCTCTCCGGGGACTATACGTTGTGTTCCTCTGCAAAGCAGAGCAGCCGCCAGGCGGA